CCCACAGATGGGCCCTGGGTCCCCACTCCGCACTCCCCCTCATTCACAATGCTATGTTTTTTTTTGGTCTTTGATGCCTGATACAGTACCTGATCCCTTCGACGCCTCATGATCTCACAGGCTGGTGTGCTTCTTCCATGTGGGCTTTGTTGTTTCTCAGTTAGATGACCGCTTGTTTATTTTCAAGCCTATAGGACCCCAGATGATAGACGGGCACCATCAGCTTTCTTCACCACATTTGCTTATGCACCCACTAAGAGTTGTACAAGCCTCAATAAACTGATTTAATTTTTTAAGTGGCATATCAAGTAATCTAATAAGGCTTTCAGTAAGGTTGTAGTTATATAGAGGAAAAAAACATAAGAAATATTAAGAAGAGATAGATGAGGAACTAAACCAAGATGTATTTTAATAAATGCCCTTTTAAAGAAAATAAATAAATAAATCTTGTAAAAGAAGAAGACAGTGAAATCTTATAATTAAATGTACAAAGACGTGGAGTTAGAAACCAAAATGGAAGGACACACACTGCATATATCAAGTGGAAAGAACTGAAAAAAAAGAAAAGAAAATTCAAGCCTCAGATTTCAAAACTGAAAGATTCTGTGGGCAGAATATTGCACAAGGCAGGAAAGCATCAGAAGACGATGAAAGGAGCACACAGACTCACCGTATCAAAACAGAACGAGTCCACATTCACCCATTTCAAGAGACAGCATACAATCAAGAACCAGTAGTACCGAAGGAAGAAGTCCAAAGGGCACTGACTGCATTAGGCACAAGCAAGGCTCCAGCAATGAGTGGCATACCGATGGAAATGCTTCAACATGCTGATGAAGCAGTGGAATCATTCACTAGTCCATGCCAAGAAATTTGGAAGAGAGCTACCTGGCCAACCGACTGGTACACATTCCAAAGAAAGATCACCGCACATTGATATGACATGATATCCATTGATAGCACATGTGGAAATTATTAAACAATACCATTGATATCACATGCAAGTAAAACTTACCGGGAAATCATTCAACAATAGTTAGAGCAGTATGTTGATAGGGGGCTTCCAGATATTTAAGCCGGATTCAGAAAAGGATGTGCACAAGAGGTATCGTTGCACCAAGGGCATAAGTAGAAAGAAAATGTTTTGAAAATGATGGTGGCCACAAATGTGCAAGTGTGCGTGACCCAATGGAGGGATAGATTGTGATAAGAGCTGTATGAGCCCCCAATAAAATGATTTTAAAAAAATTTTTAAGAGATATCATTACAGATGTTGGATAGATCAGATAAAGGAATACCAGAAAAATGCTTACCTGGGTTTTATTGATTATGCAAAGGCAGTCAACTATGTGGTCATAACCAACAATGGATAGCATTGAGAAGAATGGGAATTCCATAACACTATTATGTTCATGTGGAACCTATACATGGATCAAGAGGCAGTAAATACAGGAGATCTCAGAAGAATCAATGCATTTTAACTATAATGTCGGGAAGAATATTGAAAGTAGTGTCAAAAGGACAAACAAATCTGCCCTGGAAAAGGTACAGGCGGAATGCTTTAAAAAACTTTTTTTTTAAATTAAAAGATTATTTTATTGGCGGTTCATATAGCTTTTACAGTAATCCATACATCATTTGTATGAAGCATATCTGTACATATGTCGCCATCATTATTTTCTAAACATTTACTTTCTATTAGAGCCCTTAGTATCAGCTCTTCTTTTTTACCTTCCCTCTCCAATCCCCAGCCCCCAGAATACCGTTTAGAAGCATGCATCCTATAGCCAGACTTTGTCTCGTGAACTTGGGCATGTAATTAGGAGAAGACAGTCCCTGGAAAAGAACCCTGCGCTCAGTCAAGGAGAAGGTCAGTGAAAGGAGGTAAACCCTTGACCATGGATCGACACAGTGGCCGCAACATCGGCTCAAACATGACCGCTGCAAGGCTGGCCCAGGCCTGCACAGTGTGTTATTCTGCTGTACAGAGTTGCTATGAGTACAGCGGACTTGACGACACCTCACAATGACGGCGTTTTACTTATATCTATATGTTTTTATGTTGAACCGTTCTTTGCATACACGGTGTTAATCCCATTTAGTCATGATGTGTTATTTTTTTATACACAGTTGCCATCTATCTATTGATGGGGATTTTCTTGACAATTTTTCTATTTTTTTGAGACATATTGCTCTCTAATTTTCCTTCTTATTGGTGTTTGCCTACTTGGTACCAAGGTTATGCTTGCTTCGTGGAATAATTTGAGAAGCATCCCATGCTTTTCTTTATTCTGGAAAAGTTTAAGCAGAATTGGTGGCAGTTTTTCTGTGAATGCTATGTAGAATGCAAGAGTGGAAAAAAGATAAGACCTTTTTTGGCTGGGAGCTTTTAATTCCTGTTTGCTTAAAGAAAGTCAGAATCTGTAAATTGATGCGATTGGGTGTTTGGTACCTAAGTGCACCTAGACAAATACGCACACCTTCCTTGAAGTGTATTTCAAAGCTTAAACTGATAGCTTTGCTTACAACCCTATCTTGAAAGAAAATGCCACATAAGCCCCAGGCATTCTCGTGTAAGTAACTTGGTATCCATCTTCAACCTGGCTTTTCGACAAACTGAACCCGATGACCTCTGAGGTCCCTCGACTTCATGATAAAAACAAACGGAGGCAGTCATATTAGCACTCGGTATCTTGTTAGCTACAGTGGCTTTAGATTTTTTATTAAAAAGTCAGCCAAGTCTCTCTAACGTCTCTTTTGCTAGTAACGGGATGAGCTTGTAGTTTATGTGAAAATTGATGTTTTTCAACATAGACGTAGCTGATTATATTGAATAACTAACTATAGCTAATAATTTTAGTGGCTCATAGAACTTAGGAATTCTTGTTTAATGACATCATATATTTTAGCTGATTCAACTGCTATACATATACTTATAAGTTAATTGTATGTTCCCATAGGAGAAAAAAATTCTATAGTAAATTGAATTAGAAAAATGTATTGGGGCAATGAATGTACAAATGTGCTTTACACAATTGATGTATGTATGGACTGTGATAAGAGTTGTATGAGCCCCTAATAAAAAAATTTTTTTAAGAAAAATTTATTGGTAAAATACTTACAAATTGGTAAAATACTTATAAATTTGAAAATATTACATAGTAATTCTCAAATACAAAATAAGTTATTATTTAAGTTATGTGATTTTTACTTAGTATGCAAACAACTTTATGTTTGATCTTGGTTTATTTCCTTTTGTGTTGTGGATAAGGAATGATGGATAAGCAAAATGATAATGTTTGATAGATGTTGCCAACATATATTTAAGACAGAGAAAGACTGCCTATGAGTTATCGTGATTGTAGGCCAACTTTACTTGAATCAATGTGGTTGTTTCTTATCAGTTCTCCAAATTAGTATTTTTGAACATAGATTTTGTTAAATATAAAATATCCGTATGTAAAATACTGTTATGTACCATGATAAAAGTGACTTTGATGTTACACAACTGGGATTCTGGCATTTGGGATCCTAAAAGTGTAGAAGCAATTTTCATCAAAATCTGAAAATAAATTTTGGTCCCACTTCAGGGAAAAATACAAATATTTACTATAATTTCTAAGTGAATTCAAAAGACAAAGTTTGATTTTTGTTTATATGTTATATATACTTATAGTTAATTTTCTAATCAAGGTATTTATCATTAAACTAGGGATAATAATGTTTAATTTAGTTAAACTGAGCATTAATTAGCATTAATAGTCATAGAACATTAATTTTATTCATATAACTTATAATCTTTTCATATAACCATTAATTACTGAATTTTTGATGCCATCTAGTTAATAAATTTCCTCAGGTTATCTCTTAAAATTACTCTAGAATACAATGTTAAATTTTCAACCCCAAATTTAATCATTTATTTGTTATTTTTTCCTCCTTCCCATAGTAATCAAAGCAAAGAAGCTTTCATTGACTGGGCAAGATATGATGATTCACAGGATCATTTTTGTGAACTTGATGGTAATAAAACTAACTATTGTAATTATATTAAGTGTAACCCTTTTATAAGACTTTTCAATCTCCGGGTATATAATCATTCATAGCTTTACAGACAAGATTTTGCTGTGTGGATCTCATTATCAATAATGTATTGAGAGCTTAGCTCAACCCCACACTACTAACTGCCTTATACATATTATTTCTAAACTACTTTACTATTACATAATAAGTTAATTGATATTAACTATGATATTAATTGTGTTAATTGATGCCTGAGAAAACCATGTCTCAAAATGACTCAGTACTTTGCCTAGGATGACACGGTAGTAAGAAGCAGAACCAAGATTCAGTTCCAGGTCTAACTGAATCGAGAATCTGTATTCTTCTCCTCTGTGACACACCATTTCCCGGGGACCTTCAACTCAAGCCACTTAGTTATCAGCCTGTGACCGTATATAGAAAGTGCTCACTGGACAGCTGACTGGAGGATTGCCTAACCTAAAGATGCCTTCCAGCATCGAGAAGGACTATGATTTAAACTTCTTCGAGACCCACTAGTTATATGTTCTTGTTTACTTGACCCTTTAGTGATTTTACAATGTCTTTCCTTATCTCCTAAGCTGGTTTTTGCCTTGAAGTTAATTTCATCGGAAATAGATATTGCCACTTTTGCTAAAAAACAAAACAAAACTTCTCCACCGCCTATTTTCCAAGAGTCTTCTGGAAGGGTACACAGACAGGGAGGGCACTGCTCAACCGAGTAACCATCACTCTTCACTGGAGACACTGATAGTGACTCAAAAGTTTGATGTGTAGGAGAATGTTCCCAAATAACTGTGCCGATTAGATTTAAATCACTTATGTGAACTGCCCTCAGCTTTTACTGTGCTACAGTTACATCTTTGTAGTGGAAGCATTGTGGGCTTCCGGAAGGCATAGTTGGAAATAGCATAACTTCTCCGAATACTCAAAGTCTCTAGAGTGATCTTATTGCCTCTCATTGGTTTAAAAAATAGTCATGGATGTAGAACTATGCTATTCATTTAGACTATAATGGAGGAAGTGATAATGATCATCTACATATGGTAAATTAAAGAAGACTGCAGGAATTGGAAATATTATTTTCTTTGTATGGTTTCAGCAAATAAGCTTTTTAAAGGTCCTTTTAAAAATAATTTTGTTGGCATACAATTCGTATATCATACAATTTTATTGTTAAATCATAGAAAGTACAATTGTGCAATCATCACCACAATCAATTTCAGAACATTTTCTTCTCATGGATATTGTTAGCTCCCCAATTCCCCCCAACCTCTCCTGCCCTGCTGACTCAAAGTGGTCCCATCGGACATGGTAGAACTGCCCTTGTGGGTGTATGGAATTAGCAGGCCCCATCTTTCTCTCAAGATCGGCTAGTGGTTTCAAACTGCTGACCTTAATGGTTAGCAGCCGAACGCATAACCACTAAGTCACCAGTGCTCCCACCATGCCCTAGATAATTATTAATACACTTGTTATCTCTAAAGATTTACCTGGGTTTCATATACAGACAATCATATCCAACAGAAACAGGAAGCTAACAACAAGAATAAACAACCTGACAACAATTACAAAATAAAGCAGAAAAACCCCCACCAGAAAAAAATAAAAGTCGAAAATGTTAAAAACTGAAACGACTCTTTAAAATGGGTCAAAATGGAGATCAAATGATAGGGTGTTCCATTTTACCCTGTAGCGTTGCTATCAGTTGGCATCAGCTTGATGGCAGTCTGAATTTGCATTTATTATAATCAACGTGTCAGTGCCCTCTGCCTCATAGCAAGGCTGTTCCCATCTCGGGACGCTGGTCAGAGGCCCCATCCGTTGGGGGACCCTGCACATGAATTTTGGGCTTCCTCTGTCAGCCATAGCCTTCTGCACAGGTGTTCACAAGTTAAGCTCCGAGACTGTTCTTTCCTTTGGATTTCATTACTTGAAACCCTTGGATCCTGGTGTGCTTCTTCCATGTGGTGTTAATCACACCTCACTTAGATGGCTACTTGTTTGAAGAAACACCTTTAAGACCCCAGACGCTATTCTTTCTGATAGCCGGGCAGCCCCTGGCTTCTATAGCACCCATGTCTTCAGTGATCCGTCTCTTCATGAAGGTGAGCATTGAGTAGTGTCGTGTCATAAGAACTAGTGGTTCTTAGACTGGGGCTAGAATGAAGTGCAAGCCCAGAATCTGTTCATATACTTATGGTTTATGTATGTCTGTGGGTCACTTCAGAGACGTTGACAACGTCTTTTGATATCTGGATAAAATAGTGGACACTTAATAAAATATCCCACTGTGATATTTTAGAACTGACAGAGGTTTTTCAAAATAAACCATGAAGTTAAGTATTCATGTTACTTCTTAGGTTCTATCATTTGATCAATGGCTCTCATTCTCATTATATTTGGTGCTGAACCTTCAGTTACCTTTTTACAGTGTTTTTTTTTAAGTAGTGCTTATTTAATTTTCAGATTAAAAATTGTTTCTTTGAACATAATACTCTTTTAGTAAATAGATATTTTATCCAAAATATTACTCATTTGCAAGGGATCACTTGCTATAAATAAATTGAAGTCAAGTACTCGCCATTTATATAAAGAGTGCTAACAATTATTTTAGCATTAGCTTCCTAAATTGTAAAAGTGGAAGAGTTGTCTTATGAGAATTTGTGTAAAATGTGTTAAGACTTGCATAATTAATACTTGTAATATTTCCCATCATAATTGTACATCTATAACCTATGGTGTAGTGGACCACACGTTGCGCTGCTAAGTGCAGGTCAGCAGTTCTAATTCAATAGGTGCTCCTGGGGCAATCTGGTCACATCAAGATTTACAGGCTTGTAAATCCTGGGGAGCAGCTCTACTGAACCATACAGGGTCGTTATGAGTTGGAATCAACTTAATGGCTGTGGGTTTAGTGTGGTTTGTAGCCTTGACAAATTGGGCTACCACTGTTCTTCTTAGCACTAAAGATCATACATGTCTGAGGGTATTTTAAATTTAAAGCTACCGAGAGAGCTTTAGAGTCATTGATTAGTTGTCTGTTATCTGAATTAAAGGATTAAAAGGAAAAAAATCTGGAGACTATTCACTCCTGGTTATTAAGGAATGTACTTACACTAGCCTGCCCCCTGCTGTTTGTATTTTAAACCATTAAAAGGACTTTGATATCCTTTCAGTCACTCTGCTTCCCTGCCTCACTCACTGTGCTTTGTTACTGTCTGTGCATAGCTTGCTTTTTCCCTTCAGATTCTACTCAAGTATCACCTCATCTGAGAAGCCTGCATTCTCCCTTTATATTGCTGGGGGATCTACCAGAGCACTAAATGCCCTGATGGTGTATGAGTCTATGGCATCTTATGGAGTGTGTCTGTTTGTTGTCTGCTTCTCCAACCATAATTCTGTGAGCTTCTCAAGGTCAAGAACTTTGACTGTTTAGCTCACTCCTGTATCCCTAGTGACTTAACAGTGTCTGGACATGGCAAATATTCAACCAATATTTCCTGAATGAAGTAATTAGTTACTAAATAACACGATAGATCTTTTTTACTTTTATTTTTCCCCTTAAAATATTTTTGTTAAAAATTAAAGGAATTGCATAAAGCAACTTTTTTTACTTAAATATTGTTCATTTTTGTTGTTGTTAAAAGATCATTTTATTGGGAACTCTTAGAATTCTTGTTAAAATCCATACATCGATTGCATCAGGTGAATTTGTACTTATGTTGCCTTCATTCTTTTCTAGACATTTACTTTCTACTGAGCCCTTGCTCCCAGCTCCTCCCCCCCCCCCCTTCATAGCCCCCGGGCATGTACACATTTATAGATAGGCGATGGGAGCTCTAGGGTACCAACAATGAAACATACAACTTTCCTCTAGTTCCTAAATGCTTTCTCCGCCCCCCACTATCATGATCCCAATTCTGCCTTACAAATCTGGCTAGACCAGAGGATGTACACTGGTACAGATAAGAACTGGAAATACGGGGAATCCAGGGCGGATGATCCCTTCAGGACCAGTGATGAGAGTAGCGATACTGTGAGGGTGGAGGAAGGGTTGGGTGGAAAGGGGGAACCAAGTATAAGGATCTACATATAACTTCCTCCCTGGGAGATGGACAACAGAAAAGTGGGTGAAGGGAGACGTCGGACAGTGCAAGATATGACAAAATAAAAATTTGTAATTTATCAAGGGTTCATGAGGGAGGGGGGAGCGGGGGAAAAAATGAGGAGCTGATGCCAGGGGCTTAGGTGCAGAGCAGATGTTTTGAGAATGATGAGGGCAATGAATGTACAAATGTGCTTTACACAATTGATGTATATATGGATTGTGATAAGAGTTGTATGAGTCCCTAATAAAACGGTTAGCAATTTAAAAAATAAAATAAAATTCAAGTAGGTGTCACATATCCCATCTTGACTCCAAATGAAAAGGGAAAAAAAGAGAGATGGGAGCTCACGACACACGGAATCCAGACACAGGAGTGGGAACAGCGATACCAGAAGGGTAGGGGGAAGTTGGGGAGAGGAAGGCAGTAAGTGGGAACAGATCACAAGGATCGACACCTAACCATATACCCCTCTCCGAGGGGAAGAACAATAGAAAACATGGGGGGAGGGAGACAGCGATCGGTGTGAGATATGAAAGCAATGTTTTTTTTAAACCTAGTGTATCAAATTTACTTTGAAGCTTTAAAAGCTAGATTCTCCAGCCTTAGACTCATTAAACCCGTTTCCCCAGTGAATTAGTGGCAATTTGGGGTAAAGTTGGAAATGGAGGGGGTGGGGGGAGTTGAATATGGAGGTCTGTGGTATCAATACTGAGTTTATAACATTTTAATCTATGACAATAAGTGGAAATTCTGTACATTAAGTTGGCCTATGCTTGAAAGAGATTCACATATGAGGTAGGAGGAGGCATGGAGGAGTCTCCATAGCTCATACCATTAATATTAAATAATGAAAGTGAAAAGAAAATTCAATTTGGAAAGCGTGAGGGGAAAAGTGGTTCCATTTGAAGAGTTTGCAGAATTAGAGATTTTAACGTAATGGGAATTCTTTGACTCCGTAGATTATGGTTAGTCTGGTCAGCTAGAGAGAGCCACTCTGGAGCACTGTAGAGAGAAGAGGACAATTTACAGAGGAATGAGAGTTGGAAGACATAGTAGGATCCAGAATTATCTGAATAAGTGATATAGCTATATAAAAGGAGGTAAAATATCGTTTCGGAGCAATTATTTATTCCTGTGCGTACATATATATATGCATGAGTATATATTTATGTTGTATTTAATAATATTGGTTTCTATACATATAATTACTGCCAATTAATTTATTCAGGAAAAACTCAAAAAAATTAAATACTGAGCTTTAAAATATTTTATCCATTTTTACTAAAAGCTATAATTTGTTAATTTTATCATTTTAAATTAAAATATTTTTCATTGTTACTACTTGAATTAGTCTGTCTTTACACAGTTTCTTCCTCTCTATCTTGGTTTTTGTGATCTTAACTTTAGACTACGTAGGCTAGAAATAGTGTCATTCTATAACACTGTTTTTTGTGACTTAACAGTAGACTGTCTAGGCTGGAAGTAGTGTTATTCTATAGTCTGAGAAAGTATGTTTCCATTTTCTACAAGTGATCTATAGATCAGTTGAATAATGATAATTAGTCATTTCTTTGTACTCTTCCTGTGTCATGAAAATACCAGATAACTCTTGGAAGGTGTGAATCAGCACTGTAGTTTCACCCTATGATTATGGACATTTCTGACCTGTCATTGAATGTCCGATTAATACTGTTCCTGGGCAGGAAGATGTCCTATCACATATGAAGGGAAGAGGACTGTTGCGTGTTTGGCCCCTGTGATAACCAGGTGCCTGTATTTAGTCTCATGACACCGAGAGGCGGTGAACGCATGTGAAAGGAGTGTGTATCTGCCAACTGGAAAGCAGGTGGCTGATCTTACATACATTGTGGTCGGATGTTGGTGTAACGTTGTCGTTTGTGTTATCTGCTCTTCAGAGATCCCGGTTATAATGCTGTGCAAGTAGTGGAAATATGATTCTTATTTCATTTTGATATAGAAAAAGATTATTTAATTTTAAATATTTTAACATGTTTTTAAGAGATAGACCTAAATTAACACGTGTTTTTTAGTAGCGCATGTGTAACTCTGGGAAGGGTCAGATTTGAATCACAAAATCATTGAGCCAGTTAATTTTAAATTTGCTTCATAATCCTAAAGAGAAAGTACCAGGGAAGTATCTATTTGTAATACAATATATATTAACAAAGTAAATGTTTCTAAGCATGTTCTCAGGTAAGTTGGTGCTTAGATAAAAAAATATTAAAATAAGTTATGATGTTGTTAGATCTTTTCAATACTAGGTGGTTAAAACTTAGGAAATGTTTAATGACTCTCTCTCATAAGATGAGGAATGTTGGCATTACTTACAGCACTGCCACATAGTCAAAGGAAAAGGAGGAATTATTTTTCCCTCTCTTACATCATTTGTCCACATTATTATAAATTGTCAGTCAATCAAGTACAGTGTGTCAGGCCTGGTTGACTAGAGAAACAAATCCAGTGACATTCATTTATGTGTAAGAAAGAGCTTTAGATCAAGATGTAATTGTGCATCAATCAAACATCCCAGCCCAATCCTAACTCAAGTCCGTAAGTCCGAAACTAGTCCATGAGTCCCTCTTCAGACTCACGCAGCCACATGCAATGATGCAGCATGCGGGAAGATCACGGCCGGTGGGTGCAGAGTTGTGTGTCAGGGCTCACGCTTGTCTCCGTGTGGCTCATCAACAGGCAGGTGAGGGCAGAGAGAAAGGGCACCTTCCGAGGATCACCCCCACAAAGAGGCACCGTCAGGCTGTGACCTGACCGACCGGCTAGACGCCCCCCTTTCACGCTTATAGCTTCAAGTTGACATAAAATCATGTAACTACCACACACAGTGACAAATATGCTGATTGTTTTACCTTTTTTTGGTTGAAAGTAACTTTACAAGCATAGCGTTTCTCTAACGTTGAAGTCCTCGTGTTAGCTTATGATGCTGAATTCTAGATCTTTGGTGTGGATGGTCTTAACGAACGGTTTCTTATCAGATGAGAGATCTCCTGCTGCTCCATACGTAGACCTCTTGCTGAACCCAGAGCGATACACGGGATATAAAGGGCCCTCGGCGTGGAGAGTGTGGAACAGCATCTACGAAGAAAACTGTTTCAAGTAACTGCAGAGGCCAAGGGGGGAGAGGGAGGAGGTGTGGGGACAATGTTTGTTCTGTTGGAAAAAATGATAAAAGTCAAACTTTTATGTTTGGGGTTTGTGTTTATTTTTAGGCCTCGATCTGTTTACCGTCCTTTAAATCCTCTGGCGCCCAGCCGAGGTGGGTTTCCATGCATTTTCCTGCTTTGCGAGATTGTTTGCAAAATATAAGTATAATGAAATCCTATCTTTTAACAATTGCTGTTTAATTTTGCTTAATTTCAGTTTTAAATTTAGCATAAGATTATAAATTAAATCTCATATCATAAATCTTAAGAACTGTAGATGTTTTATGTAATTACTGTCATTATAAGTTCCAGATCACTGTCAGGAGTGCCTTCTATGTGCCAGACTATAAACTCAGAGCTCTAGATAAAATAAATTAAAATATCCATCCAAATATATCTGAAAAACTCTTACCATCTGGACTGTACAAGCCTTACTCCATACATATTTATTGAGAATCTGTAGGGCTAGGGCCCAGGTGTCATTATTTTTAAAACTTACCAGGCACTTCCAGTATGTGGCTAAGTTTGGTCATTAATGGCTCATAGCCTACAAATCACTGAAAGTGATTAAAATAATATATTCTGTTTCTGTAGCTCTTGGGTGGGGCCCAGGGCTCTAACAAGCTTTAGCTAGGAGCCCTGGTGGCATGGTGGGTTACACATCGAGCTGCTAACCTCAAGGTCAGCTGTTCAAAACCTTCATTTGCTCTGAGGGAGAAAGATGAGGTTTTCTACTCCCATAAAGATTGCCAGTCTCGGGAACCCCGAGGTTAGTTCTACTCTGTCCTATAGAGTCACTCTGAGCCAGAATTGATGGCGATGAGTTTGGCTTATTGGTTTAGGTATGCCCAGGAGGCTGATGCATGCACCATACTTTGAATTGTTTAAGGTTGTAGAGAAATTTGGATCACCTGCAGTGATATTATAGACCCTGTTGTCCATTGAGGTAACCAGTGTTACAACGCGTAACGAACCCTTGAAATACAGTTAATGTGAAACTGTCTTTTAATTTTAACTTTTATTTTAGTCGATTTAAGTTTAAAAACTAAAGCAGTTATTTTCACTAATGAATCCTTGTATCCCTTAGAACTGATTATTGTACTGTTATTGTTATGTGTATTGTTGATACATGTATTGCTCATATATTGTACATGTACACTTTGTTTTTCTAAATATGGCTGTCAGGAAAGCAGAAGTGAGATCTGAGACTCATACTATATTCCAGTTGGACAGCATTGTTATAAGCAATTGGAGGTTATTTAATATGGGCACATCCTCCATCTCTTCTCAATGAGGCCTCAAATTGACCTGCTTGTTTTCTTTGGGCCAAGCTTAATTTTAAAATTTGAACTTTCTGGTCAAGATTTATATTTTTGAGTCTTTTCTAAGACTTAGAAATTTTGGGTAAACTAGACGTTGATACTGACTGTATCACAGTGTGGCAAATATTATTCAAACGCATGCTGACATTTCTTGGAGAAGAGCATTGGGTTATGGAAAAGGTGTGCATGATTTCATATGGTTTTTTGTGACATTGGCCTCACAATGACTTCGTAAATAGTTAATTGCACTAAAATAATTTTATAATGTTTATGTTCTTTTTGTTTAGTGGGAATTGCATCACTTTTTTCTGGGAATGGGTCTGTGTATCTAATATATATATATAAATCTTTATATATAAATATATAAAGACTTTTCTTATAAAACCAGAAGCAGGTTTTTGGTAATTACATATACATATCATACCCATTTCCCAGGCCATCAGGTGCTCTTTCCAGCATGCCCTTTCTCTCCGTCACACGCTGCGTCCTGACTTCTTTAAGAAGGAGCCTACTGGTAAGCAGTGAGACTGCTCCAGATTGCAGAGGACACTCGGCCTTCAGTTTCCTATTGCACACATCTGGCTTCATCATTGCTTTTCATTAATATAAATACTTCCAACGAGTCTTCTTTTTTAAGCTTTTTTTTCCTCTATACAACACAGAATTAGGAAATTATTTTTTATGCTGATCCATTAACTCATAGGAGAAAAAATGGAATGTAATAAGTACAAAAGGAAACTTAATGTTCTATTCATCTTACTAAGGCCTCCTTCTTATCAAAAGAATACATTTCTGCTATATAAAAGCAAACAAAATGAACTCTGTAGGCAGTGAATCGTCCACGGTGAACGTTGCGCGTCGTGTGCTCTCAGATCCTTAGAGGGGACTCTGCTTGTCTCTGTAATCCGTGTGCTCGCTGTGTTTGACACACATTGGGTCATGTTCTGCAGTCTCTTCTCTAATAAAATATCAGAGATAGGTTCTTTATATCTTCGTATATGTAGATCATATTTTTTTCTAATTTCAGCTTAAATGTTTTAATCCCGGCACCACCCCCCCAAAAAAATAATTTTTTCCCCCCTAAAACTCCAGTACAAAAAGGAAAGCGGCTTTCCTGGCCAGCACCCCACCCCCACCCACCCCACCCATCCCGCCCTCACATGCTTTCTTTTCCAGGGGGGGGGGCCTTCGAGTGTGATCACTTGCTTTTAAAGCAGATACTATAATTGCTCACACAATAAAACCAGAAAGCCCTAAGCCATAGATGAATCAGAGGCAAGTCAGTGCTGGAGGGATAAAGGAAGGAAGGAAAGCAGGCATAGAAAAAGAGGGAAAGAATAGGAGAGAAGAAGAAAGAAGGAGAGAACAAGATGAGGTCATGGAGACATAATGTTTCATGAATTAAATAGCACATTATTGAATAGCACATTATTATTGCCAAGGAACAGCACTGCAGTCTTAGCTGTGTTTCTTCTAGAGATTTTGCGTCAGCGAGGAATCGTACCCCCCCCAAAAAAATTTTTTAATAACAAGACCCCTTTTCTAACAAGGAAATCATCTATGTGAACGTTCATACTAAGGAGATAAAAGACCGAGTGCTGTGCCGTCTTCCTCGCCCCTAGGCCGCCGGGAAGAGCCACAGGGACGGCTTCGTCAGTTTTCACCAGGCAGCTGCTCTTCTCAGTGGATAGGAACTAAAAGCAGTCGTTCAAAAAGAAACACACCAGTTCAAGACGCTGTTAAGAGTAGTAATTATGTCGTAAAAACCAGTGGTCTTTGTGACTATTTTTTATTGCTTTTAGATATTTTTTTACTAATTATAGAAACAGTGAAATCTGTTGCTCTTTGACCCATATTCTTAAGAAGTTTCATTTTCAGCATGACTCTACATTGAATTTCCAAGGTAAAAATTAATAGGTTACTAAGCAGTACATTTTAATCACATATTGAATAGAGTTGGAATCTGAACTGTCTAGGATATTTTCTAAACTCTTTCTGCTACTCTCTCTTTCAGGAGAAGATGATGGTGAGTTAAAACTCTGTTTCTGTTGCTCCAAGTATAAAAAATGTTTCCATGATCAACAATTGAGTTTTCTTCCATTTGTCTCAAAGGAAAGTGTTTTTCCTATTTCTTACCCCCCAGATAATAGCTATTAATATATGGTAACAATTTAAAAATTAAGAATACTTTTTTTTAACAACAGGAAGTCATCCAATGTTTAAAAAAGAATTTAGACAACATTTTTTGTAAGTCATTAGTAGATAAACCAGGTTTGTATACAAGGCTCTATTTTATGATTTTTATAATCTACTTGATCCATCCTGAGGAAATGAAGATATATTAATAATGATAGTTTTACCAGATAATTTACCTTATGACCTCCTCATTTTCTTACTGGCTTGAAATTTATACATTCAGTTTTAATTGTTTTATATGTTAGTTATATGTGACTATATTCTATATGTATATGGTGTTTCATATAAATGAAGTTATGGGCTGTCTATTTTTTTAGATTACTTTATTGGGGGCTCTTACAGCTCTTATAACACTCCATACATCAATTGTATCAAACACATTTGTACATATGTTGCCATCATTTCCAAAACATTTTCTACTTGAGCCTTTGCTGTAAGCTCCTCTTTTAGTCCCTCCATCCGGCACCCTCCCATCTCTGTGAATCCTTGATCAATTATATATGGTTATTATTATTTTGCATCTTACACTGTCCATTGTCTCCCTTCACCCACATTTCTGTTATTCGTCCCCTTTGGTGGTGGGGGGCTATAAATCCAACCTTGTGATGGGTTCTCCTTTTCTCCCCCTTCCCCCTCCCCAACCACCCCTCTACCCTCATGATATCTACTCCCACTACTGTTCCTGAGGGTTTATCTGTCCTGAATTCCATGCCTCGAGAGCGCTTCTCTGTACCACTGTGTGCTCTCCTGTCTATCCAAGAGAACGGGGTCATGGGAGTGGGGGGCGGGGGCATTCAGAAACTACAGGAATGATGTGTGTTTCATCAGGGCTATACGCCACCTTGGTTGAATCATCTCTTCTGTCTGTTTTTTAAAATAAAATGTTAGTTATAAAAATATTTGCATTCAGATATGCAAATGTGCTTGACACAGTGGATATATGGATTGTGATAGGAGATGTAAGAGTCCCAAATAAAATGATTTATTAAAAATCCTTGCACTTTAGTAGATGTGATTTTTTTTTTTCTATTTTAAAAGGAATTAGAAAAAGCAGGCAATTTTACTGAATGACTATGGATTATCAGGCACACCTCAGAACAGTCAAAATGATTACTTCCCATGGATGTTCATTTACCTCTTATTTAAGAGCACTGTAATAGGATTTATGAAGGATGGGAAGAAATATAGAACATGATGCCTACCTTCTAGGAGCTGGCCATGTACTACAGGAATAACGAGCACTGTACTTGAGTAAAGGAGCCCTGGTGGCACAGTGGTTAAGCATTGGGCTCCTAACTACAAGCTCAGTGCTTCAAAACCACCAGCTGCACTGCAGGAAAGTTGAGAAAGGCAGGGCTCTCTACTGCTTTCTACTCCTGAGAAGCTCGCAGGAGCAGCTCTGTGCTGTCCTATAGGGTCACAGTGAGTGGGCACTGACTCGCTAGAAGAAAGACTTTATGTTTGCGAAAGAGGGAGGGAACCTGTCTGCGGTGTCTGTTTCTACTCACGACAGCAGGATGTGTTGCACGCAGAGCGTCTCGGGGTGTCCTGGGCTGACACCTTCTGGAAGGCAGGTCCCCAGGCCTTTGGCGGCCCTTCTGGGAAGTTTCTAACTGCCACCCTCAGCTTGGGAGCTGAGAGCCAGCTGTTTGTACCACCCAGGAGCCTTCAGCTTTTATACAAAAATCATTAAAATGCAAAATAGGGAAAGAGGTAAACTATTGGAGACCTTGGGAGTTAGCCTTACCCTTTTGGCATTTGGTGTTTTTTGGAGTAAGCGCATTAAATGATGAGGAATAACCTTTAGTAAGTATATTGAATGAATGAAGGTGTTGATATTATTTTCAAAGTGTGACAACTCCCGGGCGGGAAGTGAATCCCTCACCATCTCATTTATCGTCCAGATACCACTCAGTTTATCCACTTGCCTTTTCTGCCCTGCTTCCTTCATTCAAACACGTATGACTAAGGAGAATAAGCACTTTAGGAAATCCGTTCAGAGTTTGATTCTGATTGAATGCCGTCTTTAAAAAACAAAACCAAAAACTCTCAACGGACAGCATCAGGCCAGTGATAGTTCTTTAACCCCTCCTTTTTAACTTTTCTAGTGGATTGTCTTGAAAATGAAGGGATTTCTTACTATCATTAGAAACTTAGTAGTGCTGAATAATTAAAGATACATACCCAGCTTACTTTGCTCAGGGAAAATGAGATAATTACATCAGTAATTAGAATTTTGCATTGATTTTAATTTAAAAATCATCTATTTTGAGAAAAAAATTTTAGTGTTGTGGTTATCATCAAGAGTAATATTTTTATGTATTTAATCCTTTTATTGGATAAGTTTACTTAATTTATTAATAGAAATGCAGTATATTCAAAGCTAAATTAGTAATGAAATATCATTTATAAGAACTTCCTTCCAATATTAAATTAATTGTGGGTTACATCTTCTAAAACCGTATGCTATTTTTCCACTTTACATAAACCAGTAGTAATGTCCAGAGATACTTTAATATGTCACAATTTATTTCGTAGATGAACATTTAAAATATTTTAACCCAATTCTTTCTCTGTGTTTTAGGAGAATCATTTTACACCTGGCTAGAAGGTAAACTTAATATCAACATTTTAAATATATTGGATTCTTTCTTTTTTTTAAAGTGATGACTTATTTAGATTATTTTTATAAAGTTTAGAATTTCAGTACTTAGACAGCTAGCTGAGGCAGTGTTTAGAAGAAAATAACATATTTTAAGGTTGTCGTATGTAAGGTGATTATTGTTTGAAAATTTTAAGAATATTAACTAGCCAAAACCCAGTGCATAAAACTAACAGGCCAGGTGCTGACTTCAGGTGTTCCCCACCTGCTTTCCAGCCTTTGTTCCAGTCTGCATTAGGGTAGACCAGGAAGTGTCGCTATAAAATAAAATGGTGGTTGTTTGGTGCCATGGCTACTTCATTACGACACTGTGTACCACAGAATGAAACATCCTCATGATCTTCTATGCTGGAGACCATTAGTTACAGCCACGGGGGTAAAACTGTAAAAGTCTTTATTAAACAAAACTGTCACAGTGTGAAGCTATTGTTTCTCAACCACCTCCATCTACATATCTGTACACTGATCAAGGTCATGTGTTCATTATAATCCTTCCCGAAAGAATTCTGCACTCTTGGGTGTACACCATGCCAAACACAATTCCTAGCATCCTGTAGAGATTTAAATCATTCTCTTTTTGAATGGGGTAAGGTTTCCCAGCAAGTGGGGTAAGGTTTCCCAGCAAGATTCTTGTAGGATAGCCCTCGCTACCCTCCAAGAACGAACAGGTGTGTTGTTGTGATTTTGAAAAACAAAAACAGGAATGCCTTGCTGTAAACTTTCTTGGTAAACTGCACTGGTGAGAAAAAAGGCCAAGAAAATTCTAGCAAGGCATTTCTCTTTCATCACAGCACTGCACCTGGCTCGTTCTTTGTGGGCAGCAAGGGTAATCCTACAAGAATCTTGCTGGGAAACCTTACCCCACTCCCCTACAGGACTCACCTTACCCCTTCACACTTCTTTTTGTTCCCAAACTCAAAGAAGACTGGAGAAGAACACTATTTGAAGTCCTCGTGTCCTTTAAGAAAATCATCCCATGTCCTTCAAATATCTATAAAGTAAAAAAAAGGAACATCGCCCCCCAAAAAAAAAACAATCACTATGACCTGAGCTGAACTCCTGCTCTGAATTTCACTGGCCCAGCAAATGCTCTCAGGAGCCACTGTTCTGATTGGTTCTTTTTTAAATGGCACCTCAAAGAGTACTGAGACCAAGTGGATTACTGAGAGAGTTTGTCTGCAGCCCTCCACTGATTTAAACCTGTTTGCTTGGAGTACACCTGTACCCAATGCATGATGCTTTCAGACGTACCCTCTTCTTATGTAGTGTAGTGCTCATTGAAACTACTTATCTCTTCACCAGACTGTAAAGCTGTTTGTAAGGTGGACAAATTCATTTTGGAAAGAAGTGCTAATTATATATATATATATATATATATATACACACACACACATATGTAGTATATAATTAAAGGAAAGTGAATTTAATTTTAGAAGGTTTAAACATGTTTGTGCCTGCTAACAATATAAATTTGTTTAGCTAAAGCAGTGGTTCTCAACCTTTCCAATGGCACGACCCTTTAATCCAGTTCCTCATGTTGTGGTGACACGCCCCCAACCGTAACATTTTTGTTGCTACTTCATCATTGAAATTTTGCTACTGTTGTGAATCGGGTACCCCTCTGAGAGGGTCGTTCAACCCCCAAAGGGGTCACAACCCACAGGTTGAGAACTGCTGAACTAAAGGGTAAAGCTATCTGAAATCCTAATGTATTAAGTATATACTTTTGTTTTCCTACTTATTCCAATGCTGCAAATGTAAATAATCAGTATAGAAAGCTGAAATGTTCTAGAATTTTACAACTTTGATTAATAACTGGTTATATATACTTTTTAAATTTTTATTTTAGCAAATTACCATTAGTTCATGCAATTAAAATTTTAAATATATCAGTGGAAACAAGCAAGTTGAATGACGCAGTAAAATTGATAGGTAACCATAGCAAATAGACCGAATTAAACTGCAAGTAATTCATCCTATTTTATGTTTGTTAACTCATCATGTTATTTATAAACATAATCTCGTTTTTAATGAACTTTGTTTATACATTGGCCACAAGATAAGCATTTTTTATGTGCCTAAACTTTTTTTGAGTTGTATTGATAATTGCCTTTTATGAAAGAAAACAAACAAAAACCAAACAAACTTAAACTGCCATCGAGTGGATTCTGACTCATCGCAGCCCTATAGGACCAAGTAGAACTGCTCCTGCAACTTTGCGAGGGTGAAACTCTTGACAGCAGTAGAGAGTTGTAGAGAGAGAGCCCTGCCTTTCTCCCAAATATGCTTGACTTTTCTGCGGAGCAGCTGGTGGGTTTCAAGCACTGACCTTGCAGTTTGCAGCCCAACACTTACGCACTGTGCCACCATGCCTTTTCTCGAGCCTTGCGTTGCAATCAAGAAGCATTCTACAGGCAAAATGCTGAATGATGCTAGAAGCATCAAAAGAAGATGAAAAAAAGGATGCAGTCACTGCACCCAAAAGAACTAGTCTGTATTCAACCATTTCAAGAGGTAGCACATGAGCAAGGACCAGTGCTACTGAAGGGAGAAGTCCAAGCTGCACTGAAAGCATTGACCAAAATTAAGGCTTCAGGAATTGCTGGAATACCAGTGGAAATGTTTGAAGATTCTGATGAAACACTGGAAGCATTCACCCATCTATGCCAAGAAATTTGGAAGACAGCTACTTGGCCAGCTGACTGGAAGAGATTCATATTTGTACTCATTCCAACAAAAGGTGACTCAATAGAATGTGAAAATTATAAGACAGTATCATTGATGGCACCTGCAGGTAAAATTTTGCTGAAGATCATCCAACTACATTTGCAGCAGTACATTGACACGGGGCTGCCAGATGTTCAGGCCACATTCAAAAGAGGACATGAAACAAGGGATATCATTACTGAAGTCAGATGGATCTTGGCTGAAAGCAGAAAATACCAGAAAGGTGTTTACTCGTTTTACATTGACTCTGCAAAGGTATTTAGCCGTGTGGATCATAATAAACTGTGGATACCTTTGAAAAAAATGGTAATTCCATAGCACTTTCATTGTGCTTATATGTCAGCTGTACATGGATCAGGAGGTAGTCTTTCCAACAGAACATTGCATGGTTTAAAATCAAGGAAGGTGTGCATCAGGGTTGTATCTTGTCACCATACTAATTCAATCTGTATGCTGAGCAGATAACCAGAGAAGTGAGGGGGACTTGAAGCACTTGTTGATGAAGATCTGGTACAACTCAATATGAAAAAGACAAAAATCTTCACAATTGGACCAATAAGTAACATCATGGTAAACAGAGAAGGCTTGGATCTACAATCAGTGCTTATTGAAGCAGCAGTCACGAGATCAGGGGATACATTGCACTGGGTGCACAAGACCTCTTTAAAGGGTTGAAAAGCAAGAATATTACTCTGAGGACTCGGGCACACCTGACCTAAGCCATGATATTTTCAGAAGAAGAAGTTGTGCGTTTAGACTACGGTGTTGGCGAAGAATATTGAAAGTACTGTGGATCTAAGAACAAACAAATTGGTCTTAAAATAAATGCAGACAGAAGGCGCCTTAGAGGCAACGATGACGATACTTCATCTCATGTACTTTGAACTTGGTATCAGGAGAAACCGGCCCCTGGTCTCTTGGTAAGTGGAGGGTAGGGGGAAAGTGGAAGGCTCTTGACAAGACAGAGTGACGCAGGAGCTGCAACGATGGGCTCAAACATCAGAACAGTTGTGAGGCTGGCGCAGGGCTGGGCTGTCTTGTTCTGTTGTACACAGGGTCGCTATGAGTTGGAACTGAGTCAATGGCACCTAACAGCAACCGCAACAAGGAGCCCCAGAGGTGTTGTGGTGGAAGTGTGGGGTTGTTAAACTCAAGGTCAGCAGTTCAAATCCACCAGCCACTCCATGGAAGAAAGACGAGGCCATCTGCTCCCAAAAAGATTTTACAGTCTTGGAAATTCCATGTATCGGGTTGTATATAAGTCGGAATCAACTTAATAGCAGTTGGGTTGGGTTTGGTGTGACAGATGTTACCTTTGTTAACTTTACTCAAACTATAAATTGTGAAAAATAGCTTTTAGCTTAAAAGAGAGAAAGTCTCTAAATATTGATCATCAAAGATGAGAATGGAGCTCAGGGTCAATATAGAGTGCTATCTTATAGCAATACTGATTTTATACCACATTAGTCTTTAACCTTATATCTTGCTCTTGGGTGTCCTTGGATGTTGGTAGATTGTTCCATAGGTCGCTCTCCTTTATAGGCAGTTCATTCAACCTTTTCAGGGATTTTAGTTTCCTTCTCTGGGACCCGAAAATCACTACTGCCTACACTGTAAAGAATTTCTTTGAAAATCCCTAAGCAATCAGAATATCATTACAGCAAATCTAGCTAGCCCTTAGATGAGAGCAGAAAATTACATATGGGAGGAATTTAATGAATTTAAATCCAAAAGAAGAAAAGAACCACTTAATAAACTGGGTAATTGAATTTGCTCTGTATTGTCGGAAGTAGGGATTGGTGGATTTTGCCTTTGGAGATAAAATTTTGTAGAGTATGCCCAGGAAGGCTAGACCCCAGTTACTTTCTAGTTGCCCCCGTCTGACTCCTGGGGACCCCAGGAGATCCCAGGGTGGTCCAAGTGGTCAACACATTCAGTGCTAATGCAGAGGGTGGACATTGGGGTCCACTCACAGATGCTTTGGGAGAAAGTGCTGGAAATTTATCGTCTGCCCCCCTCACCCCGCCCCACAAAAAGGAAAAAACACAATGGAAACCCCATGGAATGCAGTTCCTCTCTGAAACAGATGGGGACACCATAAGTCAGCATTAACTCCACAGCAGCTGGTAAAAAAGGAGTCCGCTACCAAGAGCATTGGGGGCTAGGAGGAGACGGTAAGTGGGGAGAAGCGCTCCAGCAATTGCCTGCTCAGAGTGGTGTGTGTCTTGTTGGTACACTCAACACATCTTTCATTGTTAGATTTTGTTTGAAGTTGCCTAGTTATGCAGTTTCTAGGGATGCATATCTGCCCTTCACTCATTTACCACTCATATCTGCTTTGGTTAAGGGGCTTTGTAGGTTTTGCCAATTAGAATTGCTACCCAATTTTTCAAGTTTTGGTTTTCAAGCATAAGAATTTTCCCCACTGTTGCCCTTTCTCTCGCTGTTTTGCTGGATATAAGCACTGCTTACAACGACAATAACTCACTGCCATCAAGTCGGTGCTGACTCATCGTGACCCTATAGGCCAGGGTGGAACTAACTGCCCCTGTGGGGTTCTGCGACTGTAATTCTTTATGGGAGCACAAAGCCCCGCCTTCCTCCCAGGAGTAGCCGGTGGTCTCAGACTGCTGAGCTTAACCACTGGGACATCAGGGCTCTAAGCACTGCTCACAGCAGCAGGTTGGAAGAAAAAGAAAGGAAACTTCAAATCTCATTGTTTTGCTACTTGATAGCAAATTTGATTAGAAATGTACTTAATGTCTTATTAAATTGATTCATATTGTTTGGAGACATAACCGAATTTAAATTCTATCCTTTGTTCTCCTTCCATGACAATTAGAATATGCTGGCTAGTATTCTCAAATGAGATTGCAGAAGAATTATTTTACCTTTTAGAAGCTACTTGCTTCACATCTTGGTAGGACTTAGTAAAATAAAGATCTAAAAAAAAAACTAGAAAAGGTGCAAAAAGAATTTTTTTTTTATTCTTAAATTGCTTTCCTTCCCTCAGCATATAAATGAGATGATCTCTTATTTCCTGCTGTGAGATAGAGCCCTGATGGCATAGTGGTTACACATTGGGGCGCTACACACAAGGCCAGCAGTTCAAAACCACAAGTTTTAGGAGAAACTGGGAGTGTCTTTCTCCATGGGAGAAAAACAAGACTTTCTACTCCCATAAAGAATTACAGGCTCGGAAACCCACAAGGGCAGTTCTACCCTGTCCTGTAGGATGGCTATGAGTCAGAAGTGACTCTATTGGCAGGGAGGTTGAGTTATTTTGAGTCCCACAAGATACCGTGTCCCTGCTTTGGGAAACAAACAAAAACTGTTGAGCGGTGAGGAAGAAGAAGAAAAAAAGAATTAATCTGCATCCAGTGATTCCTAAAATTTACTTTTCTGAATTTTTCTTTATTAAAACCAAAAAACACATCTTACTGCCATGTATGCCTTACATGTTGTTGGGAAATCCAGCACCCCAAACCTTCTGGTCTTATTCTGCATTAAATTATCCTGCTCGCCTTACTCCTTCCTGAAGCTGGAGTCGTAGTGATAAAGTCTTGTTTTAAAATTTGTCTTTAATATTTAATCTTATCTTCACAAATAAAGCCTAAGTACTGAATCTCCTTGATTTGGTATTTCTTTTTCAATATTTTTCCAAATAGGTTTGTGCCTGGAGAAAAGAGTCTTCTACAAGCTGATTTCTGGACTTCATGCTAGTATCAATTTACATCTGTGTGCAAATTATCTTTTGGAAGGTAATTAGACATTCAGATAAAAATATTTATCTCCTATTTGTGTGAAAATTGTTGGAGGAAATGTATACTCTACAGAGTCAAAATAAACCTTACTGAGAAAAGGTAATGTGTTTCTTTTTTCTCTTTAGAAACCTGGGGTAAACCTAGTTGGGGACCTAATGTCAAGGAATTTAAATGCCGCTTTGACCCTGTGGAAACTAACGGGGAAGGTCCACGACGACTAAAGAATTTGTACTTTTTATACCTAATTGAGCTCCGGGCTTTATCAAAGGTGGCCCCATATTTTGAACGCTCAATTGTTGATCTTTACACTGGAAATGTAGAAGAAGATGCGGTCACAAAAAGCCTTCTACTGAATATCTTTCAAGACACAAAGTAAGAATTGAATAGTAGTGTTTTAAAGTTTTCTGTTAATGTATTTGAATGAGCTAACTCTTGAAATAGAACAAAACTGATTCCTCCAGGTTATGAGCTAAAACCGATTGTGGTAATGATTGTATAACACTTCTTGATACGATCGAACTCTTGAATTGAATGGTAGGTGGATTATGACCCAATAAAAGGGTGTATTAAAAACAATCTATTACAGCTCTGGAAACCGTGTGGCATAGTTCTCTTCTGCTCTCCAGGGTCCCTATGCATAGGAAGAGGTTTTTGTTTGTGTCTGATAGATAGATCTCTCACTTAGTGGATTCTCCTACCTGCTTAGCATCTGGAAGATTAACTGAAAATTATTTTTATCTTCAAGTGTGTTCCTACTGTTGGCTCAGGTTCTCCCTTGGTGGTAAAGAAAGGAAAAGCCCTGGACAAACAGACTTCCTTCTGTTCTTGTTCCTGGTCCCTTAAAACTCAGTTTAGAGGTCCCCTCGCCATTACTATCAAAATCAAGTAGGTAACGATCAGGTAGCAACTTAACCCCCAAATTTCAGGGGTGTACACCAACAGTGTTCCTCCTCACTTACTCAAAGTCCAGTGCAGGCGTGGCATCTCTGTATAGCTCCTCCCTGAAATGGCGACTGACAGGCCTATCTGTTTGTGAGTCTGCCAGCTTAACATGGGCTTCCAGATCGCCAGAACAAAGGAATAAAGATTTGGAGAAGATGTGCCAATTTTAAAAAGCTTTAGCCCAGGAGTCTACAACTGCGGTCCACAGTTCCTTGGCTGGACTTTGTGGCACAGCCAGGCCTCGCTTCTCAGGGTTGGAACCTGTCACCTTCCCTGAGGTTCTGGAAGGAGAGAAGAATCAGATCTGGATAAGCACTGTTAAGTCTCCGCTGTATCTTTCCAGACCCCCAAATCTAGTCTCAGTGTTCACTGTTCCCGGTTGTTGTTGAACTGCTTGGTAAAATACAGGGGCAGCCAACCAAAGGAAGACCCTCAAAGGCTGTGTTGGCACAGTGGCGGGAACACCGAGCTCAGCTACGAGAGCAGTGGGGAGGATGGTGCAGGGCCCGGCAGTGTTTCATTCTGTTGTACCTCTGGTCTCTCTGAGTCAGAACCGACTTGAGGGCTCCCGACAACAGCATGCGCTACCCATGTGATCGTCACTCTACCATGTAGTTATTGCTGGTTCTAGTTCGTCGGCACCCACTCAGGGTGAGCCCCCGTGCATAACAGAATAAAACATCACTGAGATTGGCACCATCACGTTTACAACGGTTGGAAATTAGACAAAGTTCTGTTGGAATCCATAAGGTTTTCATTGACTGATCTTCAGAAGTAGATCGTCTCTCCTCCTAGTTTGTCTTTGTCTGGAAGCTCCCTTCTCTGCAGCTAGTCTACCGTGTGTGGCCCTGCAATTATCCCCCTCCACATCGCAACACACAAACTGACGCATGGACCCGAGAGGACAGAGCAGCACTGCGCCGGTGGTTTTCTGAGAGACTGAAAACAGACAGAGGGGTGATGCGACTTTATTCTAATTCAAATCATCAATAATGATCTATTTTAAAAAGACAAAAGTTGTGAAGAGGGGAAAATTGGACGGAGAAGAAGAATGATCTGAACATAATTCTCGAGTACTTTTAAATCCTGACGTAAGAAGGATCTATAAAGCGTTACTGAAGATTAAGGCTTTTTGTTATTGAAAGGCACATAAGAGAACATTTGCCAGTTGGATGTCTTTTCAGATGCACAATGTAAGGACATCAGCCACATTCGTCATGTCGTACCGCCATCAGCAGTGTCCATTGCCGGTGTTTTCAGCAGCAGACACGCATTGCTTTCTACACAATGACGCTCCCTGTCCACCCGCTCTGTCTTCCTCGTAGCCACTCATCAAACATTGGTGTCTGTACATTTGCCTAGATTGGGTTATTTTTTTATTTACGTTAACATTTTTATCAGAATCAAAATCAAGTGATAATGTCAATGTTCTTGCTACCAATTTAAACAAGTAATTTTTCATTAAAGTATTACAATGTTATCAATGCAATTTATCTTATGTCTTTGTTTAGTCTTTGATTGAATTGTTGGTATGTAAACTTCCCTACATCAATAAACACATGAGTAAATAATGAATTTTAAGTATTTAGAGCGATAGAAAATTCTAACAGCTTAATATGGAGATGTTCATCTATGATCTATGACTTAAACTTTATAATTTTATTTCTAACTTATAGCTTGTTGTCATTTCATCAGGTCCTTTCCCATGCACTTTGATGAGAAATCCATGTTTGCAGGTGAAAAAAAGGGAGCCAAGTCATTAAAGGTAAAAAAAAATTAATTAAGGGACAAGATAGGGCGTGTGTTAGACCAAATTGTCTACAGAAAGAAATCCAGTGGCATCTTCTATATGTATTTTAAAAAGAGCTTTATATCAGGAAGGCATCCTAGCCCAGTACAACTCAATCCGATGCTCGATCCTAAGTCCCTCTTCAGACTCACATAGCACATGCCGGGGACACAGACTGGGCACGCAGGGGCAGGAGGATCACTGGCAGTCTCGTGAATCCAAGGCTGGTCGGAGCACTTCCGGGCGCTGATAGCTCTCAGGGTCAGGTGGCCCCATGGGACCACACCTGGAGGCAGAGACCCAATGAAGTCCCAGAGAGGAGGTGGGCAAAGGGGCAGAGAACCCAGTTCCCAGTGCCTCACCCTCTTACCAAAAGTCTTCGAGCATCAAGGAGGTGTCACTGGACTGCGACTGGGTGGACAGAACTGACTCCGCCCCTAGGCAGGACTAGGCGTGTCTAGTTGACACAAAAACTGCCACGGGGGAGTCTGTTGGCTTTATTTCAATCCTATTTGCACTGTTTTCCTTCTTAGTTCTCCAGCTTGTGGAAATTAGTCTGATTGAATTTTACTGTGAAGGACACAAGCAAGCCCTCTCTAAAATTGCTTCCTAATTCCTTTGGGCTTTCTAGTGTCACCAGTGCATCCTCAGTCATGACTATGTACCATGAGTAGGACGCCTTTGTAAATGTCCTTCAAGGTAACAGATCGTTTAGGGTAAAAAAGGCTTACGTTCTTTGGTTTTCTGACCTTACAAGTCCCAGTGTGTATTCTTGTTGAAATCCCGTTTTCACAAGGTCATCAGCTGCTAGCCCCTTTGAGGACGCGGTTGCTGCCAGGTGCCAGTCAGCCAGTTCCAGCGGCCGGTGACCCTGTGCGCAGTCCTGCACCAGCCACACACTTGTTTTCATTCTTGAGTACTGTGTTGCAGCCACCGTGTCAATCCATCTCCTTGAAGACATTCCCCTCCCTCACTAACCAAACATGATGTCCTTCACCCGGGACTGATCCCCCCTGACAATGAGATACTGGTCCCCCTTGACAGTATGTCCAAAGTCTATCAGACGAATGACGTCTCGCCATCCTTGCCTCTAAAGAATACTCTGGCCTCACTTCTGCCAGCACAGACCGGTGCGTGGTGCTCTCACTAGTCTTCTCCAGCACCCCAGTTCACACGCAGCGATTCTGCTCCGGTCTCCCTTATTCAATGCACAAATTTCACGGGCGTAGGAGGCCATGAGGAATGCCATGGTGCAGGCCAGGTGTACTTTGGGGCTCTCAAAGTACCATCCTTGCTCGTCAACACTCCTAAGAAGTTTTGTGCAGCAGATTTACACAGTGCAATATGTCTTTTGAGCTCTTGACTGCTGCTTCCATGAGCATTGATTGTGGATCCAAGCAAGGCAAAAATCCTCCACATCTTCAACCTTTTCTCCATTTATCATGAGGTTCCTTATTGGCCCAGTGGTAGGGATTTTGTTCTTCTTTATGCTGAGTTGTAATCCATACTGAACGCTGCCATCCTCGATAGTAAGTCGTGTCTTTTTCTAGAGTTTATCTTACGGGATGTTATAAATTTTGAAATATTACTTATCTTTATGGGCTAAAACTAAAGGCAAAATTTTTACCTATATAAAAGAAAGTATGTTTTAGAAATACTACCAACTTTATGCACTTGCTTATAGTAAATTAAGGAGTCCCTGGATAGTGTAAACCATTAAGTGTTCCACTGATGATTGAAGGTTTGACACTTCCCAGAAATACCTCAGAAAGCAGACAGACCTGCCAATCTGCTTCTTGAAGGTCATTGCCTTGAAAGCCCTCTGGCTTTCTACGGGTACCCATGGGCTCTCCGTGAGTCAGCAGGGCAGCACAACAGCAAGGCCAACATGGGCAGTAACAACAGAGTTCAGGACACAAAACTTGTAAAGCAAATGTACAAAATGAAAGAATAAAATATTCATGAAAGTATTTGAACTGGCAGACATTCGTCTAGTACAGGTCCATAATCTTATACTGTGCTTTGAAAATTCAAAAACCTCTAAACACTGAAATTTGTTTCATTTGGCACAAAACCTGAGCTGGAGTGACATGAGACTATTTATAGTCTTTTTTGTCCTTTTAATTCTGATTTGTATGACTATCCTTCCATTGTGGTACAGAAACACTATTCTATTTCATTTTAGGGTATTGCCACACTCTCACCTGAGGTGTTTTATAACACACAGTGTATGTTCTGTATTACTGTTCTAAAAATCTGAAAAACCTGTATTCTGGAACACTCTTGACAAGATGTTGCCGCTGTGACTGTACTATAAGAGTTACTTAGCTGATGTTGAGTTATTCTCCAATGATGAGAGTTTCTTGTTGGCACCGAAATGAAATACATAATTTAGCTCAACAAAATGAAATAAGTAATTTAGTTCAACCATACACCCATCCTTACTTTTTTTTTTTTTTT